TGGTGTAACAGCCCAACCACAACTATTACTGCTGCTGCTACTTTAAGTGGGTAAAGCAGTTACTGTGACTTAAAGCTCTCTCAGTTAATAGTTTGCACCCCCCCCCCTTTTCCCCTAAAATTCACCGACAACTCTTTCCCTCATTGAAGTAGTTGGGAGGGGGAAAAACACTTGAAAAGCAAATGAACACAGGGGAAAAAAAAAACCATAATTAAGAAATGAACGCTATGGTAAACAGCACAGCTTAAAATTCCAACGCAGATGAAATAATTAAATTTAAACGAAAAAAAAATGTAAGGAAAGCTATGAAATGTCAGCGTAACCATGCAATCGGAAAGTTTAAAAATGCAATCATAAGTATGCGAAATGGTCAAATTTAATTATCAAATGGTTTACCCATTTACTTGTCTTTTTTTTTTTTTTTTTTTTTTTTTTTTTTTTTTTTTTTTTTTTAGTATTAAGGGCAACATTGCTAGTGCTGTCACCACGACAGAGCAGATAAGGATATTATTTTAGTCCAGGGTAAAAAAAAAATTTAACTACTGCGGATTCGAACCCTGGTCTCCCGCACGGGAACCCAGTGTTCTAATCATTCTACCAAGCAGCCACTTAATCGGAGCACCGAAAAGAGAACTAAACTATTAGAGATGTGTGTCCCTACTACTGTGTCCCGATTATAACACAACTCAAAACCGCAGGCAATTGTTTTCTCGTAGACAGATACTCCAGATATAATAATGAAACGGCACAACAATAGAAATCGCACGTGTCTAACACGGTTAATGAAGTTAATGTCGCAGTCAATGTCTGCGCCGACGTCGAGATAGTCCTTGATGCCTCCCCCCCCCCCCCCCCCGCCCCCTTTCCTCCATAGAAAGTTGTTTGAAAAAAAAAAACAGAAAATTGAAATCGTGTTTAATATGGTTATTGTGGCAAATATAGAGATAGTCTTGTTTGCTGTACCACGACCTACTCTGTGTATTAGAGAAGGCGTTGGCTGCACGTAACTCGTTGGCGAATGGTGAAAGCCTTGCGTTCTGACTACGGCGCATGCGCAATTACTAACGTGGCTATAATTAGAAATCACTAAAATTATAAATATTAGTTTCGAATATTGTGGCAGAAATTGTCGCAAACTATCTCCAACAATGACAGGTGGAATTTCAGGCCATGATGGTTCAACATCCGGTATCAAAACAAACATATCCTGAAAATTTCAGCTAAATCGGTTCAGTAGTTTCCGAAAAGGTGTATACAATATGTATGTATGTGCGGCATGTAAATGTGTGGTATGTATATGTGTATGTGTAGGCATGTTTGTGTATGTATGAGTGTGTGTATCGCTAATTGTATAAGTTGTTTAGGGAATGTGTGTATATCTACATGTGCGTGTGACTGTGGGTGTGTCTGTGGGATTATGTGTGATTATGTCTCTGTGTAGGCGTGTCTGTGTTTACGTGTCTGTGTGTGTACGCGTGTGTTTGTTTGTATGTGCGTGCGCTTCGTTATGTTTGCGTGTGTGACTATGTGTGTGTGAGTGTCTGCATGTGTATGTGCCTGTGTGTATATGTCTGTGAGCGATTGTCTGTGCTTGTGTGTACGTATGCAAAGTGTGTCTACGTGTGCATGACTGTCTGTGCGTTTGCGTGTGTGTCTCTGTGTATGTGTCTGTGTGTGTTTGTTTGTGTGTATCTTTGTGTCTGCGTGTGTTAGTATTTGGTGTCTGTGGGTGTGTATCTGTGTATATATGTTTGTGCGTGTGTGTGTGCGTGTATGACTGTGTGTATGTGTCTACATGTGTGTCTGTGTGTGTGTCTGCATGTGTGTCTGTGTGTGTGTGTCTGTGTGTGTGTCTGCATGTGTGTCTGTGTGTGTGTGTCTGTGTGTGTGTGTGCATGTGCCTGTGAATGTGTTTGCGTGTCTGTGTTTTCTATGTGTATGTGGCTGTGTGTGTGTCTTCGTTGTGTTTGTGTGTGTGGGTGTGTGTTGGTATGTGCCTGCGTATATGTGTGTTGGGATGAATACCTGTGTATACGTCTCTGTGGGTAAGGATATATGTATTGTGTGTCTATGGGTGTGTATCTATGTATGTGTGTCTGTGTGTGTTTGTTTGTGTGTATGTGTGTGTTTGCGCGTTTAGGACTGTGTGTATGTGTATCTGTGTCTACATGTGTCTGTGTGTGTGTTTGCTTGTATGTGTGTTCCACATGTATTTAGCTGTGTTTGCCTGCGTGTGTGTTTGTATGTGTGTGTCATTGTTGTGTTTGTGTGTGTGTCTTTATATGTGCCAGTGTGTGTATGTATCTCTGCGTGAATGCCTGAGTATATGCGCGTCTCTATGTTTATATATCTGTGTATGTCTCTATGTGTATCTGGGTGTGTTTGTGTGTATCTCTGTGTGTAGTGCCTCTGAATGTGTCAACATGTATGTGTATGTGTATTTGCGTGTGTGCCTGTGTATATGAATGTCTGCGTATGCTTCTGCGAGTGTGTGTCTGTAGTTGTGTGTGTGTGTCTGCGTGAGCATCAGCGCGTGTGTGTGTGTCTGCGTGAGCATCAGCGCGTGTGTGTGTGTGTGTCTGCGATTGTGTGTGTGTTTGTGTGTCTCCGAGTGTATCTGTGTGTGTTTGTGTTTGCGTGTGTTTGTGCATAAGTGTCTGTGTGTGTGTGTACGCCGGTTTGTGTGTGTGTGTCGCATGTATGTGTCTGCGTGTGTGATTGGGTATGTGGGTGTATGTTTCTATGGGTGTGTCTCTGTGTTTATATCTGTATGTTTGTATGTGTGTGGAATGTGCGTGTCTGTGTGGGTATGTAGCTATGTATGTGGGTGAATGGGGTGTGTTTATGTGTGTGAAGGTATATGGGTGTGTTTAAGTGAGTGGATGGGTGTGTGTGTGTGTGTGTGTGTGTGTGTGCATGCATTTTACCACCCATGCTTTTGTGCTTTTTTTTAGTCTTTTTTTTATATTTATAATATGCATATTATCATATAAATATAACACGCTTTTTGATAAAATACATCTGCAGTGTGAAAGACGGGTGTTGGAAGGGCCGAATGTAAGAATGCGTGCCCAATTTGTGACCCTTTGAAAATAAAGTTCGTTCGTTCGTTCGTTCGTTCATCAGTATCGTCACCAACAACAACAACATCATAATCGGCTCCATTATCTTCATCAGTATCGTCACCAACAACAACAACATCATAATCGGCTCCATTATCTTCATCAGTATCGTCACCAACAACAACATCATAATCGGCTCCATTATTTTCATCAGCATCGTCACCAACAACATCATAATCGGCTCCATTATCTTCATCAGCAACGACTCCAACAACAACATCATAATCGGCTCCATTATCTTCATCAGCATCGTCACCAACAACAACATCATAATCGGCTCCATTATCTTCATCAGTATCGTCACCAACAACAACAATATCATAATCGGCTCCATTATCTTCATCAGCATCGTCACCAACAACAACAACATCATAATCGGCTCCATTATCTTCATCAGCATCGTCACCAACAACAACATCATAATCGGCTCCATTATCTTCATCAGTATCGTCACCAACAACAACAATATCATAATCGGCTCCATTATCTTCATCAGCATCGTCACCAACAACAACAATATCATAATCGGCTCCTTTATCTTCATCAGTATCGTCAACAACAACAACATCATAATCGGCTCCATTATCTTCATCAGTATCGTCAACAACAACATCATAATCGGCTCCTTTATCTTCATCAGTATCGTCACCAACAGTATCGTCCAAACATTTGTCCTGCCTGCATTTACAGCCCTCTAGAATAGAGTCAGAATAGAGGGAGAGTTAGTAACTGAAGCCCCGCAAGAAAGGGCTCCTTGTCTGGTGCCATCGCCACGTACTATGCAGGTTGTGATCTTTTTTCCCTCCGGCAGCAAATAATTTTCAGTCATCTTAACGAGAATTCGAACTCAGGCTTTCCGGAATGGGGGCCTATTCTTACAACGGAGCCAGCCTCTAGTCACATTATTAGGTTTTCCTAAAACTATTCCTAATTAACGCGTTAAAGGTTAAAGGTTAAAGGTGAGGGTATCGACTTTATTGCACTCATATCATCCCATATGGCTCTGTCTCTCGCTATAGAACGGTTAGCCGCCTGCAGAGAACGTTACACAAAGCACTAGCTTCGTAGCTCAGGAGAAGATCCCCAGTGGTCTCCATACAAAAATGCACCATGAACCTAACGATGTCGCCATAAAACGAAAAAAAGACGTTAAGTGAGCGAGGCAAACCGTTTGACCACTTCGCTGCAGAATGCGTAAACAGAGACACGGTATCATATTGTTTAGTACAATTCTTCTTCTTTCTAGACCCCACTGGAGCATAGGACCTCATCCAACTCATGCAAGTCGCTCTATTTTTCTCTATCGCTCACAGTTCTCTTTCTTTTTTTCTTTTTTTTTTTCTGTGACCCTGTGGGTCCCTGTACAAAGACAATCTAGTACAATTACCTACAAAGATACCAGTTAGCGTTTTATCCTTTTGAAGGATATGGTTATTGATTCCACTAGTAGGAATCACTCTAAGGTCCACATTTACAAGACTGACTTTATTCCGAGAACCTGCAGCTCACACTCTGGTACTAAATCCTTCAGCTGTCTGCGTATAGTGGCATTATTTATAGTCAGTGCGTTCCTAACTCAACAAGGACCAATGCTAAATAGTCGCTCAGCTTATAAGCCAGAAATGTGCCTCCTTCCCTCCTTCAAACTTTTTTTATACTGTTTCCTTTTTAATTTTTTAATTTTTTTTTTTATTTTATCATGATGATTACCTAATTTCAGGATTGTTTTATGCTTTTTAAATGGTGAGATTTATGTTGTTTTGTTCCATTTTAAAGAATGGACGAAACGTTCTCGTGTTATCTTGTCTTTAGGCTTGTTGTCTAGATACATTTTATATTAATTTAGTTTTCCACATCGTGGAAGTGTTGATGTTTTGTTCACGAAGTTTGAGTACCCGAGAGCTGACACTGTTCAGTGACGTTTTTCACCAGTTTCGAACCCCTGGTGTCCGCTGGGCGGATGAAGATCTGGGTAAAGACGGCTTTGTAGCGGGAACTCATGTTGAAATAAACAAAAATGTTGACCGTAGAGTTCACACTTTCCATGACGTAAACCACAGACCAGATGACGTAGAACATATTGTAGTTGATGCCGGATGGATGGATTTGGGGGTTAAAGGCCATGGCGATCACGTTGACCACAGAAGGCAACTCACAAACGATGAAAATAACAGCGATGAAACTGATCATTTTGATAACTCGTTTATCTTTACCGGAACTAGCTGCATCGCCTCTTGTCGACTGCTGTCGCCATTGTGCCTTCCTGTTCAGCTGGATAATAAGAACCACTGTGCAAATAACTACAGACACGAAAGCTACACACTGAAGAACTATGTTGTTCATAACCAAAGTTACGCTCTCGAATTTCTCACGGCCGTCAATGAAGTGAATACCAAGCATGGTACGATTTCTTTCCGGGTAGAATTTCCAGCCCAGTTGTGTAACGTAAAATTCCGGAGCAGAAGTGGCGGCGACAAAAAAGAAGAGAAAACCCATGACAACTTTAGTTCTTTTCGGTGTGATGATACTTTTGATTTTCAGAGGAACCGTTATACACAAACATCTCTCTAGAGTGATGAAAGCTGTGGCGTAGCTGGTAACTCTTACGAAACAAACATGTGGCCAACATCCAGTTACATACTCGATTTCGGAAAAGACTATGGGAGTCCCCAGGTCTTCCATTTTAGTGTTGAAACAAATACTTTCCCAGAGGGAGCAGACAAGGGAGAGTAAGTCCCCTATGGCCAGGCTGAAGAGGCTGACATTGACCGCATCGTGGAGTCCCATGTTAAGGAAAACTGTAATGTTGATTGTGTTGGTGATAATGCCTGCGAAGGCACAGATTCCGGTGAAGGCGACCTGGAGAATGGCCACGATGATGTCTGCTACTTTATCGCTAATGATCTGACCCAGTAAGTCTGCCTCGCAGAAGCCAGTGGGTGGATTCCCAGGGTTAGATGTTCCATTGAGTCTCGTGTTAGTGGTGCAATGGTTGTTGTCAAATAACCGCTTCATTGTTACCTGTTAGAAGAATAACAACCATCACGCGGTTGCTCTGTCATGGTAGAATGAAAACAGAGACAAGTATTTTGGCCATATCAAGCACTACGGTGGATTGGAAAGAGTGAAAGCGTAACGCATGGTACCAGGAAAAAGGGGCACGGGCCGACCCACTCGAAGATATGCACAGGATATAAGCGACGCTTTGGGTAGGAAAGTACACAAGGCGGAAGAGCTGGGGAGAGACCGAGTTTTTTTCAGTCAGACTGTCATGGGAGCGACGTTCTGCCAAGGAAAAGCTACATAATGACGATGATGTTGTGGAAAACCTGCTACATAATGAGTGTAGTAACTTCTTCCTGTCCTTACCCGCATAAGAACGCGGTCCTAAACATGGCTGGTGCAGCCGTTAGGGTGTCCTAATCATAGCTTCTTTGGAGATTGAACAGGATATCTGGGATCTACCTTCTTGAGATTCTCTAATCTAAGGACTGTATGGCAAACCTGCATGTGGCAGCCCAGAGAGCACAGACCTTTACTATCTATAACTACAAATCGTCCTATTGCAGGACAAAAATGACATGGGTTTCCATGTCGACCCAGCTTTTAGTCGGTACCAGTCAAAAATCATGGGAAATAAAGGCGGTCGACATGATGCTGACCACATCACCCACCAAGTGCCGATTGGACTGTAAAATATAGGTCTAGCCCTACATGCCTAACAGGCCTGAAGGCGTGCGAAATGTGCTTTATACATGAGATATTATTTCAACTTTATCGTATTTCTTCGACTCAGCACATTGTTAACCATTAATTATTATTGGAAACTCGGACACGCATCGGAAACTTCGCTGAGATAGAAGGTGGAAAAAAAGAAAAAGAAGAAGGAGAAGTTAACTATTAAATCTCCAGAGCTTCTCTCCAGGTGTAATGCTGTTACGTCACCGGGGCGAACACAAAGCAGAAGCAGGTAGTGATAATTTTAAAACTGGGCTCTTTATATGTAACAGTGTCTGAAATGTTATAGTGGAGGCAACAGTCTGTCAAGCGGTAATTCAAGATTTCACAAATAGCTGTAAAATTCTTAAAATTTGGTTGAAGTTTATGTACTTTTATGAACTCTTAGTACTTTAACAGGGAACTCGAAGTGCTGTGGTTAAAATAAAGTGCTGTAGTTAAAATAAAGTGCTGTAGTTAAAATAAAGTGCTGTAGTTAAAATACTATAATGAACTCTTGCCAAAAGAAGAGACTGACAAAGATGCACGAGGTACGCCAAGAACATGATGCACAGAGAACAATGCATTTCCACAACAGCATGATGTGTATATGGTCGAGGCAACCAGAAGAGCAAGAAGCGGAATGTTATACCTCACTCGAAATCTGAAGTTAGTTAGTCGAAAAAGTATCCTCATCAAGCCATTCAGTCCATAAGTGCTAAAATCCCCCCCTCAGTAGATCCCTCCTCGTGTAACGGCGGACGACACTATATATTTCTTATTCTTCATTGGCTTCCTGCCTACTGCTCTTGTCTGACCCCTTTTAACATGCTGCTTCTGCAGCCTGGTCAGGGTTGTAGATTCACAGTCAACACTTGGTTCTCGCAAACCTCTTATCTCTCGTGGAGAATACATTTAAGGACGGTCCATACCCCGTCCGCCCTCCACACTAGCTTTACCTGCAAGCCCATCAGCTCGCTCATTTCCTCGCACTCCAGTGTGCCCTGAGACGAATATAAAACTAATATGTGTGAGCCTCACCCGCCTAAGAGACTCCATCCACTGACTACTATATTTTTCTGGGCATACTCATTGATATATAGCAGAAAGTAAATAAAGTAATAAATGTAATGAAAATACAAAATGGTCTTTTGCTATTGTTGTTGAATTGCCGAAAGTTCAAAATAGTAACGTGACTTATTATGGTAATTTCAAATGGACAGTTACACAAACAGCGGAATTTAAGTATTTGGGAGCAATTTTCACATCCGACGGAAAACTGGACAGAGAAATCAGCTCCAGATGTGCCAAAGCTAATCAAGTAATGCAAAAGAGCAAAGTTGGAAACTTTTGTGAATGATATGGAGGCGATAAAACATTGGGGAAATTCTGGAAACTGCAAAGGCAGATGCAAAGAAAAGATCGGCCTATGACAGTCGGAACCATTTGTAGAGACGATGGTGTGCGTGTGACAACAGACAAGGAGAAAAGGGGGGGGGGGGGCTTTTCTCCATAGGTTTATAGCTCAGTGTCACGATACGATCTCAGTGATTCCAGAAGTTAGTACTTGTAATAAGTTCTTCTGGTTCTAAAGAGACAGGATTATACGTACTCTGCCCTTTACCCTAATATTACTTAAACCAAAATTGATTTAAATGTTTCCAGTCCTTAGTCCAGACAAAGCCACTGCGCTTTGTTTAAAATTACCTAACACTACGTAATACAGCCCGCTGGTTCAGACTAGGGATGTGAGGTTGGATTCTCACGCCAGTGTCAGAATGTTATCTCCTGACCAGACTGTAGAGATTGAGCGGGGCCCTTTTGAACAGGGAAATTGAGTAGACGCTAGACATTGTGGAGCCGGGAGGTCGGAGTTTAACACGTCAGTGTAATTCTGGAGAGAACAGGTGTTTGGCAATTAGGAATGTTTTATCTTGATCTTGATCACGTAGGAAACACAATGGCTTCACTGACCGTCTTTCACACCGGCCAGTTAGATTCGGTGTAAACTAGACTGGGGCACTTAAGAATGTTTGCTCTAGGGATGTCAGTCCAGAAGTGACTGACAGGCCACTTGTTAGCCAAGTTGATCTGTTGGGTACTCCGGAGGCGTGGCTTAAGTCATCGTCTTGAGGGTTGGGCAGAACCCAGTAAAGGGAGGAGATTAATTTGGACAATAGATTGATACTTATACTTCGAGCCTGTGGAATTCCCGTCATTAATCGCAGCCTGCCGGCAAACAACACAGATCGACGTGAAGGTAATTTTACGGTCGCATTCTGTTTTGGCGATTAATGGGAAGTTCCCAGGTAAGAGAAAATATTAATTTTAATCTTGTATACATAGGTTAGGGAGTTAAGCCTAGTCTATACTACCTTTTCCTAATTTGTCTGCACATTCTGCTTGAAATAGTTCTTTGTGAGAATTCAGTATCTCAGTTAGGGAACTGCTAAACTATTCCTATTTCTTGTATGTTTGTGTCACATGTTTTTCAGTGTATGTTTTCATGTGTAGAAAATAAGATGTGAACAATGACATTTGATATAATGAAATGCAATTATATTGTTTCCATGATGCCCATATGTGCAGGGATGCTGTTACGTTTTGTGTGCCCACCATGTGCTCACTTAAGGTGTTCACCTAAACAGGGGATTTATAACCCCAGGGGGAGAATGATGGGTGTACAGTATTTACTGTCACTGAAAGATAATATTCAGGACAGAGTGCACATATAAATTGTTTGAGTTTTCAGCACATAACCTGCTCCACGTGGTCATGTAATATCTATGTCAGCCAACTCGAAGTCTGAGTGAAGACGGACAACAGACTTAGAAAGTCAACTATCATGACATAGCATTTGAGGGAAGGCAGGATATGTGACGCCCATGTAAGACAAAAGACCTTCAGACTAGACTGGAGAGGATGTGGAATATGAGGAGGAGTGATGGGCTATATCTTATTACTATATCCTATTATTATATGTTGTATTAATTGATACATGTATTCTTAGTGTAAGTCAAGATACTACACGTATGTGTTTTGTTTCCATGATTACAGCGCCCATGTGACGATCAGTCCATGAAGTAGCCTACATTGTGTTAGACTCGGCCAGCTGGGAACGAGGTGGAGAACGAGGTGGGGGCGAGGGGGAGAAACAAGCAGGGAAGAAGCTGGAAGAGGAGGAAGAGCTTGACAGTGCTCACGGCTGTCAGAGGTTCTATGAAACTTGAGTTATGTTCATAAACTGTTCATACTTTATCACCTTCATCACACCACTCTAATCCCAGGTGCTGTTCTCGCGCTGAAACAACCCATTACTATCATAACTTTAGCTAGTCACTGTTTGTGTAAACACAACAAACTGGGTATGTCAATTAACTGATTGTTAGAAAATAAAGCTGTATGTCCTACTCAACAACATAAACATTTAAACCACGCGTCACGTCACACTCAGACAGATCATAATGATGTAGACATCGTGGATGCAGTTATGAAGGAGTTAGCTGGCACCTTGAAGAATATGCATTATGAAGACATGATACACGTGGAAGACATCAAACAACTTTTGAAAAAAAGCAAAAGACACTGCACCAGGGCCTGATGGTGTCATGTATGGTCACATGAAGGCTTTGAGCGATGTAGACCTGGCAGAGATGGCCGACTGTTTTAACCAGAGTATTAAGACAGCATCAGTACCGCAAGACTGGGTGCACAGCTATCTAATCCCACTACCAAAACCTTTTAAAGATTATTCTAAGCTTAGTGTGTTGGGAAATGAACAGGCGGACAGACTGGCTGGCTCTGCACAACTTGGTGGAATACTGCTACATGATAGGGCAGACGTGGTTAGTGCCTTGTGGGAGAGCGTGTACAATGCGGAGGAGCAGATGGATCACCACAGTTTGGTGAGATTGATGCAGTTGGGGGTGACGAGATGTTCTGGCAGAAGCTCAAGGCTCAGAGGAAGGAAAGACAGACGTTTAATCAGAAAGCTACTGGCACCATTAGTATCGGAACTCTTCGCTGGCTGCTGAAGATGGGGACGGAGCGCTTATGGAAATGCCCCGAGTGCTGTGATGTCGGTTCTTGAATCAAATCAGATCAAATCAAATCAAGATGGCGTGATGGCATTAAGAACAGCCTTACAGAAATGAACGCCAGTCTTAACAGTGCTTTGAACAGAGCTCATTAACGAATATTACATCCCCCCCCCCCCCCCCCCCCCCACCTCCCACCCCCCCCCCTTCCCGACACTTCGATGAGGTACAAGGTGGAAGAGACGAAGAAGAAGTTACACA